AAACGTTTGTTGAGCGCCAATAATGTACCAGACCCTCTGCTAGGCACAGGATGGGGGGCGTGCAATGGTGAGCAAACCCAGATATGGCCCCTGCCCTCTGTTCACAGTCCAGAGGAGGAGGAGCAAGAGGCTGAACAGATAATTACCAGCCTCTGAGTGATACAAAGGGCAAGGCACGCCATTGTTGATGTTCCTGGGAGGAGTGATGTGGAGGCTACAGGAAGCCCTCTCCAATGAGAAAGCAATTTTTAAGCCAGGATTGAAAGTGGTCTTTTTCAAACTGTGAGTAGCAACTCATTAATGAGTCATGAAATCAATTTCACAGTCATGACCTGAATGACATTTTTAGTAAAATAGAATAGAGGGATTTAAAACGTCGCACTTAGGAAATACTGATTTGAGAAATGTTAGTTTTAGTAATATCTCTATCTCTATCTTTCTACCATATAGTGTTTATGGATTAGGATAGTAAATGTATTTCTTCTTGCAGGTTTTGATCAAGAAGGTTTGAGAGTCACTGGCCTGGCGTTTGAGGAAGAATTAATCATGAGAAAATGGTGGTGATACATCTACCAGGCTGAGGACACAACACCTATCACGGCCCAAAGATGAAGCGGGTGGAAGGATGAAGCGCCGAGCCCAAGGCCTGCCCTGTCCTGCGGACCATGGGGAGCTATGGGGGGTTACGTGAGCTCCCACCTTTTTTACCCCTGGACCCCACCGCATGGGTAGGAGGGGGACTGCCAGAAGCTGTCTCTGTGCCCCCAGGAGCCTGGACCTTCAGCCCTCCCTGCCTCCCCCTGGGCCTCGACTGTCAAGACGGCCTGTCCTCCGAGCTGGAGTTGAGAGGATGAAGTCAGCCAGTCACTGGGGGAAATTTCTGGGTCAGACAGACCTGTGTTCATAGCTTGTCTCTGCTGCTTACCAGCCCTGCAGCCTGGGGAAACCTTTATACCCTCTCTGTGCCTCAGCTTCCTCCTGTATAAAACGGGGCTAAGGCAACTCCTCCCCAAAAATCCTCTTGAGGATTTTGTTTGAAACCCAGATGCCCCCCAGCTGGTAGCCCTCTGGGTTCCCCCTTTACTTGAATATAGAATGGGGTTGCAAGATTTAGCAAATAAAAATACAGGACACCCAGTTAAACTTCAATTTCAAATAAATAATTGTTTTCAGTATAAGTATGTCCCACATATTTTACTTATGCTAAAATTTTTATTATCTGAAATTCAAATTTGCCTGGGCGTCCTGTATTTTATCTGGCTACCCTACACAGAAACCCCACGGCTTGCGCTCTGTCCCAGAGCTGCACAGATCTGCCACTGGGCGATGCTTCTCAGGCTTCCGGAGGGGCCTGAGCTCCCGCCCCCACCTGCTGCCTGGCTCTGCTCTCTTCACTCTGTCCCGCCTCACCCGACTGTGGATCCGCCCTGGCCCTTCTCCCTCATCCCCCAGTGCTCCGGCCTCCAGGGTGTGGTGTGTGACCCACTTTTACGAACCTGGTGGGGAGAATGGAGAGCATTTGCAGCCCAGCTCCGAGCAGGAACCGCGCCTTGCATCAGCTGTCAGCCGGCACGGGGCCTGAATTCTGCCACTGTGCTCGCTTGTGCAGCCTCCTCACTGGCCCAGCTCCTCTTCCTGCCTCCACTTTTCCAGGGGCTCAGCCCCCTCCTTCCAGTCACCAGCAGACGTCACCCAAATTCTTATTTTTTGTAGTGTTATTCAGGGTCCTTTAGCATTCTTTCTCACTTCTTTCCCATCTTGATGATTTCAGGAGGTAATATAGGGACTCCCTTTCATGATCCAAAAGTCCTCTTGAAGCCAGACTCCTGGGGTTCTGCTTCCACTTGGCAAAAATTCCTGGAGACCACAGCAGACACCGTCATAAGGAATGGCGCATAGCTACATTCCTGATGGCTCGGGGGTGGTGCTGTGGAGAAGAACCCTGGGGAATCTCAGTCAAAAAGAGATTTAGGGCAGTTGGACTCTGACTGTGAAGAAATTTTAGAACTGCCGTTGACCCTTGAACAACTCAAGGATTAGGGGCACCAACCCCTTGTGCTGTCGAAAATCCATGTATAACTTTCGCTCCTCCAAAACTTAACTACAAATAGCCTAATACTAACCAGAAGCCTTACTGATAACATAAACGGTCAATTAAGACATATTTTTTAGGTTCTATGTTCTATATACTGTATTTTTACAACAAAATGAAGAAAATGTTATCAAGAAAATTATAAGGAAGAGAAATACATTTACAGCAAGTATTGAAAAAAATCCACATAGAAGTGGACCCATGCAGTTTAAACCCCTGTTGTTCAAGGGTCAACTGTACTTTAGCCAATCTATTTGGGCTACAGTTTCCTTTTTTATGCATGCACAAGAGAGATTTTGACTTAAAAACTGATATCTAAATATCTAAATAAATAAATACATCAAAAAGACTTTTTTCAGTAAATACAAAATAAAAATTGGTTTAAAAAAAAGCATTTTCAGGTCATTTTCCTTTACTTGTTTTTTGAAATTGTTTTTATTTGTAATAAAGTACCATCCTAACCATTTTTAAGGGCACAGTTCAGTGGTATTAAGGACATTCATATTGTTGTGCAACCATTACTTCCATCCATCTCCAAAAAAGCGTTTTTGTCATACTCTAATTAGTAGCATCATACAACTGATGGCACCTTGGATCTTATAAAGACACCACACAGTGGTCACTGGAGACAAAATTCGTTAGAACATCATCCCTATACGCCAAGGTTGAGGGTTTGATCTCTGGCCAGGGCACATAAAAGAAACAGCTGATGAATACATAAATAAGTGGGACAACACCTCTCTCTCTCTCTCTTTCTCTCTCTCTCTCTCTCATCGATACATTAAAAAAACAAAATAAAAAACATAGCCGTCCCCTTGGGGGTACTCTACTACCAGCCAGGAAGCAGGAGAACCCTGCGGCTTTGACAGGATCGGCTTCTTTCTCCCTTGGCTCAAAGGCAAAGGGTAAGGACCCCGTCATGACTGACACCCTCCCCTCCTCCTAGACTTGGGCGCAGGCGGCCGGGGTGGAGGGAGGGGTAGCTTCATTCAGGGTGTAGTTGAGCATCCACCTGTGTGTCAGGCACTGGAAATACACCAGAGAACAAACGCCACGAGACTTCCTGATTTTTTTGGAGCTTCCATTCTGTTTAGGTCATTTTCTTCCTTACCCTCCTCCTTCTCTTCCTCCGCCTCCTCATTAACAGGATTCACTCATCCCAGTCTATATTTGGATAATGCATTCTCAATTGCAAAATATTTCCCATCCATTATCTTGCTCCATCCTCAAAACATCTTTGTGGGGTGGGCATGATTACTTCCATTTTCCAAACAAGGAAACTGAGGCTCGGTATGTGACTTGGCAGTGTGGGGCGTGGTTGAGTGCTCTCCAGATCAGGTTCCAGTCCCGGCTCAGCCACTAACTTGTTGGACCACCTTAGATGAGTCACTCTTCTCCCCTCCTCCCTGGGTCTCAATGTCCCCCTGTGATACAACACAAGAGGCTCTGCTCCACAGTCTGCGATCCACCCACGTTTCCATTCCTGGAGCCGTAACTTGCCAGGGGACCTGCCGGTCAGAAGGTAGCGCAGGGTCCAGAAGCTGGTCTTCCTGACTGCACTCTGGCCGGACCCTGGCTCTGCATCCCCAGGAAAGGGAGCAGGGCTGGAGGGATTAAGGAAGAGCAGGGTGTTGGATCTGGGACTCCCAGACCTGAATGCCTCATAGACCCTGGGCTGGAGCAGCATCGACGGCAGGAAGCGGCCTTGCCCCCGGCTGAGCTGAGCGCGCACCAAGGCTGGAGAGCCACTCATCGAGCACCGCAGCCTCCACGCACCTGCACAGCTCACTGCCTCCCAGAAATGTCCTCCCCCAGAGCCCGTGTGGCTCCGAGCTCCAGCGGGTGCCTGGAGTCTGTCACAGCTTCTGTAGCCCTAATGTGAGTTTGGGGAGACTTAGCCTCCCTCCCAAACTATAAATAATACTAATAAGAATAGCTGATATTAATTGATGACTTACTGTGGGCCAGACACTGCTTCGAATACATTATGTACATTATTTCATGTAATCCAAACCCCAATCCAATAAGGTAGGCTTATTATCCCCTTTTCACAGAGACGGACAAGAAGGGGCTCACAAAGATCACTGAGGGGGATGCTGGAACAGGAGCTCGCAGCTGCTTCCGCCACCCCCAGGTCGACCCCGTGGTGCAGGGCCAGGGTCCTGATGCCACTGGAACCACCCCTGGCCTCTAGGCTATGGCAGTTGCTGCTTGGCGGGGGTTCCAGGGAGGAAAGGAAACTTAATGACTTACGACTTATGGGCGATTGACTGCAAGAAAGCAAGTACAGAAGAGACAGAAAAGCTTTATGCCTTGGGAGATTCGTGTCACAAGCCAACCAGTTGTTTTCCATCCCTTTTAACATGAAATAATTGGAGGTCAGAGGGCAGGAAAACTTCTCAGTCACTAGAAAAGGTAGCGTTGACATCCTCTCTCCTGGTCAGCTTTGGATGAAGCGTCGCCCCTGCCTGGGCCAGCAGTTTGAGTCAGAGAGGGGGGCTTTGGCCCAATGGTCTGCAGGATCCCCACTCACAGAGCCGACAGGGGCCGGGGGAGGCCCTGGGGCAACAGCCCTGGGGCGACCGAGGGAACAAACACGGAAAAGCAGGGGACGTCAGTCCTTATCTGGAGCTCATTAATGGGGAACATTGGTCAGCTGTGAAGGCCAAGATGGGATGATAGGCATGTGGTGGGCAGGGGTGGGGAGTCGGAGGGGGGGCCACAAGGGGAGAGGAGGCATTGGTCTAAACTCCACCTCCGACCCACGTGCCCAAATGCTGGACGGAAGGACCCTGTAAATGCCCACGGCCCAGCCTCCCCAGAGCCCCAGAGAGAGAGAGAAAGAGTGGGAGAGAGAGAGGGAGACAGCTGCAAGCCTCTGGCCCCTGAGACAGCTGGACCAGCCCTTGAAAGGCTCCACAGTATGTGGGAGCTCCGGTCCATAGCCTTCTCCAGGGCTGTGTTTGCAGAATTCCTGGCGACACTCCTCTTCGTCTTCTTTGGCCTGGGCTCAGCCCTCAACTGGCCGCAGGCCCTGCCGTCCGTGCTGCAGATCTCCTTGGCCTTCGGCTTGGCTATCGGCACCCTGGTGCAGGCTCTGGGCCACGTCAGCGGGGCCCACATCAACCCTGCCGTGACTGTGGCCTGCCTGGTGGGCTGCCACGTCTCCTTTCTCCGAGCTGCCTTCTATGTGGCTGCCCAGCTGCTGGGGGCCGTGGCAGGAGCGGCCCTGCTCCATGAGATCACACCAGCAAACATCCGAGGGGACCTGGCTATCAACGCAGTGAGTAGCCAGAGCTTCCTCTCTTCCACAGCGCAGATCCTGGGGAGTCCCTTGTAAAGGATAAGATGGGAGGGAACAGATTTGGGTGAGGGACTGCATGGGGGAGAGAGAGACAGGGAGGAGGGCTGCAGGAGTCGGGGAGAGAGGAGCACAGCGCTGGAACTGGGAACACGGCTGCTGCAGGAGAAGCAGGGTGGAAGGAGCAACAGTGCCAGAGCAGAAGCAGACACACACAGGCTGCTGGTACCTTCTGCCCCGAGCCTTGTAGAGGATGCCCGGCATCAAGGTTTCTATCACACTTAATGCCTGCATTCTAGGGAGGACTGGGCTAGAAATCGGCAGACAACAGGGTCCTGAAGTACCCCTGCTTTCCGAGCTGGGGGGAACCTCAGAGTGTGAGTCCTGAGGGTCTTCTAGTAAGGAAGGAGGGCCCACCTTTTCTTCCGCATCCACAGTGTGCAGGCTCATGGTAGGGTTCCTCACGAGCCTCGCATCGACACCTCGCAACAGCCCTGCGAGGCAGGGAAGGGGGTACCCTTTCCTAAGAACATGGAAATTGAGGTTCAGAGAGGGGAAGCGCCAAAGCCAGGCCTCAACCCAGGCTTGACTGCAACACCCACAATCTTTCTTTCGACCTCAGCCATCATCTAAGCTTCTTTTGCAAACAAGGAAACTGAAGCTCAGAGAAGGGCAGTACAGGCCAAAAGTCCTACAGTGTGTCAATACCAGAGAGAGTACCAGAACCCAGGGGAAAGCTGAAGGGGCAATGTCACTCCAGACACTGGGGCTTGTGAGCTAACTGCTGATTTCATGAACAGCAACTTGGGCACCTTGGGTGCTTTGGGAGCTGAGGGTGATGTGCACTCCCACTTGCCGCTAAATACCCCCACCCTCCGCCCTCTTGGATATGTGCAAGGCCTGGGCATGTGAGGGTACGGGTGGGCAGGGATGGTCTCTGTCCCCTCCGCAGACCCTCACTCCAACGCCCATCCCACGTCCAGTCAGCAAGGGCCTCTTTCATGCCTCAGTTTCTCGCATTTCTCAGCCTGCCCTGTTCCCGGGCTACCAGGGAAGCGCTCTGACGTCTCTGGCGAGTCCTACACAGTCTCTGAGGCTGCCCCCTTCTCTGCACGGTTGGTCCTTGCTCTAAAGGAGGGGCAGGGGTATCGCAACTGGGGAACTTCTCTCTTCCTCCAAATGGAAAGTGTGATAAGGCTGGGGACTCTGGGCTGAGGAAAGGCTAGAGTGACTGGGACAGGGGGCAGACTGAGGAGTGTGACCACTTCCATTGAGAACAAAGTTAGTTCAGTTGGCAGCAAGGAGAGGTTCAGAAAGAGTGAAAGAGGAACTTCCTGAGAGCACAGTCGAGAAAGTCTCAGAATGTGATGGGGGAATCTCGTCTAAGAGCAGGACCATGGGACTGCTCAGGGGACATGGGGACGCTCAGTCCTGCTCCTCCATCATGTCACAGTTGAGTGGAGCCGCAGAATAGGAGGTTCCCCCAAGTTATTGCTCAGCATTTACTATATTGAGTAACTGAGGAGAACCCTGCCTGGCTAGATGGGGGCAGCAGAGGGGCTGAATTACCCTGCGGTTTGAGGGAGCCAGGTGACTTTAATGTTGTCCCGGGAGTCCTCTGGGGTCCCTGGAAAGGCCAGCCTGGCCGCCAGAAAGTTACCATTGACGTGCACCTGCCCGGTGGCGGACATCACCTCATTCGTGGGGTAACGCTGTGCGGTGAGCTCTGCGGTCCCTCCACCCTGAGTGGCACATTGAGGCTCAGCATCCAACTGATTCAAATCACAGAACCAGTAAGTGTCAGCGCCTCGAAATGGACCCAGAGCTGACACCAAACCCACGCCCACACTGCCTCTCTTAGGGCAGCCATTTACCAGCGGGAACGGGGCTGGGGCTCTGCCCTTGTCATTTCCAGTCCTCACACAGAATTGTGTCATCCTCATTTTACAGAAGAACAAACGGAGGCTGAAGTAAGGAAGGGCCCATGGTCGGCCAGAGGCCTCCAAAGTATCTGCCTTCAAAGCTCTTTTCATTGCTCCCACTAGAGGCTCTGACTTGGGATCACAGAGGATGGAGGTTAGACCCCAGAGAGATCCAAGAGCGACAGCTCAATGGCTAGGACCCGGGGGTTGGGGTTCAGGGCCTGAAGAAGCAGCGTGGGAGGTGAGAGCTGTCACAGCTCCACCCGGTTCAGTGCCCAGCCCCAGAGGGCAGGGTGTAGGGCACAGGATGACAAAACCCAGAGAGAAACCCAGGGCTGGGTGTGGCCCAGTTATGAAATTACCTCTTTGTTTAGCTCCGAGTTCTCCCACTACCCAAAGCAGGGTCTGCTGGGATCATGGGCACCCCGCATGGGTATGGAGGCATGGCGACGGAGGGCTCCAGCACCCCAGCGGCCCCACCCCGACCTCCACGGGACATGCAGGGAGCAAGTCCATAGGGCAAAATTGAGGCCTGAAACACAGTGGGGAGCAAGCAAAGGTTAGAGGAAAGAATCATAGGCTGGACTTGTGGGGGAAGGGAACATACTAGGAGCATCCCCAGACCCAAGTCCCTAGACCGTGTTCCTGGGAGCCCTTTGACTACAAAAAGAAAGACAGTAAGCTTTTGTTACACCAATACCTTATGGCCTAGGGAGAGAGGAAGGCCTTCCTGTTACCTGGTCTAAAGCTTCCTGCTGTATTCAAAGCCTCTTCCCTTCTTGCTCTTCAAAAAACAAATTCTGGACTCAGCATCCTTTTTTGCTCACATTGTAGGTACACAACCCCAGCCCCCAAATCTAATGAGCTATGGAGCCATTTTTCCTACCTCTGGGTGGGGAACCATAGGTAGTCTTGGGATCCATCCCTCTGCCTTTGGGCCACGGGCCCAGGAAGAAGCCATCAGAGTTTGGACTACGGTGGCTGGTGAGCGCAGGTGTTCTGGCTCCCAGCCAGTCCAGAAGCCTCTCTGGAGTCTTGACTGCAGGTGGGCAGGAAGACGGAGCCGGTGCAAGGAGTATGCTTATGTTTCCCCCGCCTCTGTCCCCAGCTTCACAACAATGCAACAGCTGGCCAGGCCGTGACTGTGGAGCTTTTCCTGACCCTGCAGCTGGTGCTCTGCATCTTTGCCTCTACAGATGAACGTCGTGGAGACAACGTGGGCACCCCTGCCCTATCCATTGGCCTCTCTGTGGCCCTGGGCCACTTCCTTGGGGTAAGTCATGGCCACTGGTTCCAGACTCCCTGGACACACAGACTTTTCCCCAAAGAAACAGACCCACAGACGCACTCTAGAGACAGATGCACAGAATCCTCCAAAATGGCAGACACAAAGACCCGCAGAAGGACAGGTACAGGCTCCCACGAGGGACATGCTCCAGAGGGTTGGACTGTCAGACACCCCAAACAGACAGATTACACACCAGGCGCAGAGGAATACGGAGCCCTGTAAATCTAACATGAACTCAGTTGTCAGCAGCATGGACTTCCTTTAGGTTGAGGTCAAGCACTGGTGAGGGGAGCAAGGACTCCCTGTCCAGGCCTCACCTCCCTTCTCCCCCTGACCCTGACTCCCACTGTAGATCTACTACACTGGCTGCTCCATGAACCCTGCACGCTCCCTGGCACCAGCTGTTGTCACCGGCAAATTCGATGATCACTGGGTAAGGCTGAAACCTCCCTGCTTGTCCTCCCCTCCCCCAGAAAACCAGCTCAGCTAGGGCTGGAACAGAGTGGGGCGGGGGCTCAGCCAACGCTCCACACTCTTCTCCCTGAGTCCCTGAGGGGCCTTGGGTTCCACCCTACAGGTTTGATGCTGAAAGACTGTTTCCACATCTGTAGGTGAGGACAATGGCAATTCTGCATCACTGGCTTTGGGGAAGGATTAAGTGAGGTTACAGGTGTAAAAACGGTCTTTCAATGCCTTACAACTCCATAAATGGTAATATTTATGCTAGCTAACACACATATTTTTACTTAGCACTTATCTAGTACTTAGTACCTGCCAGGCCTTATTCTAAGTGCTTTACAAATATTAATTCATTTAGTTTTCAGAACAAACCCCAGGCAGTCAATACTACTGTAATGAAGGGAAACAGGCAGAGAGTAAATAACTTGCCTAAGCTCACCCAGGCTGCCCTCTTAAAAATTCGCAGTCTTCACCCCCAACTCACAAGCCTTCCCCAACAGCCTATGTTGTCATTTCTAATCACCTGACAGGCATTGTATAAGCGTGTGAGGCCCTGTCCCCACACGAGGTGAGGCGGGTCCCACGGCCCCACGCTCGCGGGGAGCGCGGCACCGCGCGCGCGGTCCCCGCCCCGCCAGGTCACCGCACCGCACCCGCCGCCTGGGCCCCGCGCCCCGAGCCAGCTGCCTTCCCGCTCCCCGCAGGTCTTCTGGATCGGACCCCTGGTCGGCGCCATCTTGGGCTCCCTTCTCTACAACTACGTCCTGTTCCCGCCCTCTAAGAGCCTGTCGGAGCGCCTGGCGGTGCTGAAGGGGCTGGAGCCAGACACCGACTGGGAGGAGCGCGAGGTGCGGCGGCGGCAGTCGGTGGAGCTGCACTCGCCGCAGAGCCTCCCTCGGGGCAGCAAGGCCTAAGCGCCCCCCGGCCCAGCCCCGACGGCCGGCCTCAGGCCCCGGGGAGCTCGGAACGGACCCTGCGGGCCCAGGTTGTGCCCGAGCTCCGGGGGCACCCCATGCCGCCCGGCCCGAAGCAGAAGGGCCTGCTCCCCCGACTCCCCTCCCCGGGCCGAAGTTGGCCCCCAGTGCAAAGTAGCTGCTTCCAGGATGTGCACAGCCTGGCCAGGGTTGCGGGGCTAGTGGTGAGCCTGGCAGACCCTTGTCCAGAAGCTGCAGGCTGGAGAGTAGCGGACCCTCTGGCCTCTCGCAGGGAGCTGGGGACTTTTGGACCAAGCTGGAGAAGGAGGGCGGATGAGCAGCAGAGGAAGATTCTGGAGAGCCTGTCCCTAGGAGTGGGTCGAGTTGTGGGGAGAAGTATACAGACCCCGCCTTGGAGGGGTCCTGGGAGCGGGTTTTTACAAGTGTGCAAATGTGTGTCCATTCCCAAGTGCCTCTCTGTCCGCAGCTGCAGGGTTGTGTGTGCTTCTGCGTGGGAACAGGTGTGCCTGTGTTGGTGTAAGCGTGGACTGGCTGGTGACCTCTCACTTTCCCCTTAACCCCGCCCTCCCCCACTGCAATAAATCCTTGTCCTCTGCCATGGATGAGTCCTTGCCCGCGATCACCCTCAGGAGCTCTAAGAGCGTGTGCTCCCCTGGGGAAGGGAAGGGTCTGGAGGCCACTTAGAGAAGACTGAAGGCAAGGACCTGATTTCCCTACTCTGCCCCTCTTGGAAAATTCCCCGAAGCTGCAGCATTGGGCCGATAGATTTGTCAGGGCCCAGTGCTAGAGGCAGAGAGGTATCAAGTAGAGACTGCCCTCCCCCCACCCCCCAGAAGTGGCCTCTGGAAGAAGGGAAAATGGGGCAGCCAAGGGCCTTCTTTCGGCCCTCAGGGAGGCTCTCTCCAAAGGAGGAAGCAGGTATATGTGTGTGTGCATGCCCAACGTGTGTGTGCAGGCGACCCCCATCTCCAGGGGGGCTCCAGGCCTAGAGATTAGCCTCCCACTGTGACAAAACAAAAGCTCTTTGTGGGTCCCTGGCTTTTGTCTTGGGAGAGGGGGAGATTTGCAACTAGACACTACTTGAAAGGAGACACTCCATTTCGCAAATGAGCCCTCTCACCGAGCACACACCTATGGCTGGCTGAGCAAGGCACTTAGGCACGCAGCTGCAGGCACCAGGCAACACCCCTCCGTCACCCACCCCACCGCAGGCCCCCCTCCCCAGGCGCTAGCTTCCCCCCCCTGGAGCCTCTCCTCCCCTCCCTCCTTCCTCCTCAGCCCTGTGCTCCCTCCCTTCCAGCCCCCACCACAGGACAGTTACTGTGGCCAGAGCAGCCCAGCGCTCTAGGACCAGAGAAGGGAAATGACTTGTCCAGGCAGAGGCAGGTCTGTGTCTAGAGCCTGTGCTTCTCAATTTCCAGGCCAGTGCATTGGTTGTCAAATGAGATTAACTGGGATTAAGTGAGATGAAGCATGTAAAGATGCTGTGTGAACTGTAATTCCTCATACCATTATAACCCGTTGTTGAAGTCATTTCATTATATCTGCTTCCTGGGGCTAGAATGAAGAAGGTGCCTGACCCTCTGCCTCTTTTACCACTGTTAGGTGGTAGTCAGAGCAAAGGAGGGCACTGGGACCCCAAGGTACAGGCAGAAGGACATGGGCTTGGGTCTGGCCCCTTCCTGGTCCAGCCTCTTAACCTCTCCTCACATGAGAGGTTCTCTCCTTTCTTTCCTCCCACCACCCACACCTTCCACTCCCTCCTGTCTCTCCAGCCTGCTGCATCGCTAACCTAAGAATCACCCTTGAGCCCCCTCTGCATGCTCTCTGCTGCCTGCGTGGGCTTTTCTCTGTATCTGCACCGAGCACCCACCGTGCACTGGCGTCTCCAGCCCCTTCCTGCCCTCCTCTCTCTTCAGAGATGGACTGAGTATGAGGACCAGTTCTGTTAATGTGCCCGCCTCTGCATCTGTCTTATTTGTCTCCCTTTGGGGTCAGAAAGAAAGGTTGCCCTGGGTCTTACGTGCTATCGAGATGGCGGGATGGGTCAAGTCAGAGACCAAAGTTACCTCCAGGACAGTACTCCTCGTAGCTGAACGGCCTCGCTCTGGAAGTTCAAAGACAGCAGGGCACTGAGCTGTGAGCCAAACCTGGACATGTCTCAGGCACCTCATCCCCATCATCCCCACCACACCTCACCCCAACAGATCCCTTTAGAAGTTGCCAAGAATTTCTATGTTCCACTTCCTGGATTTCATCTCCCCCAGAACTAAATGTGAGATCCCCCCATTTAGCCCTGATTGCCCAGATTGGGGTCACTAAGGTCAGAGGTCAAAGCAGGATTCAAAATAATGGGAGTGGAGGGAACTGACACCTGTTGAGCATCTCTTGTGTCCCAGCTTCTGTGCTAGGTGCTGGGTACTTAACCCTCCTAAAACTTCAGGCAGGTTAGGGAAGGACAACGGCCCCCTTATCCCAACCCTGTGAGACAGGCAGAGCAAATACAGTCATGTGCCGCATAACGACATTCAGGTTAACAACTCACCACATACACGATGGTGGTCCCATAATAGTATAATGAAGCTGAAAATGCCTATCATCTAGTGACAGTTGTAGCCGCGGTAACATCCTAACATCATTACGCCACAGCACGACACATTGCTCCCACCTTTGCGGTGGTGCCGGGTAAGCAAACCTACTGCGCTGCCTGTTGCATAAATGTATTCCACATACCACTACTGGGTGTATGCCCTCTGGGTCTGTGTAAGTGTACTCTATGATGTGCACACAAAGACAAAATAGCCCATTGTTAAGTGGCATATAACTATACTGTTCTTCCCCTTTTATAAATTAATCAACTGAAGCTAAGAAACTGGTCGAAAGTCATACAGCTCTACGTAGTGTAGACAAGACTTGAACTGAGATTTTTTTATTTGAAACCCGTGATCTTTCCTCTCAAAAGTCAGAGGAGACTAGGTGTGGCCTGAGGCAATTCCTCAGCCCCTGTGGGAAGCCCTTGGCGGAAGCGGACAACGGAGCCAGTGCAGCCCAGCTCAGCCCAGCCCAGCCCCCCGACTTGTGGTGGACGCAGGGCCTTGGGGATGGCTGGGGCAGGGCAGGAAGAAAATGACAAGGAACATTGGGATGGTTTCTGCCCTTGGAGAGCACCCAGTCTGGAGGAGGATGGAAGTCAGATACACCCCAAACCAGACAGAGGCCAGGCAGCAGAGAGGCAGGTGGATAGGACCCCAGGCTACGGGCAGAGAAGGCTCTGAGCTGAGGGGAGGAAGTAGTGGACCCTCGGGTCCCAGCAGCATCGCTTTCCACAGTCCCACTTTGTGCCAGAAAAGACTTTGCAACTACAAATGCTGTTTTGATGTTGTTTTGTGTCTTTCAGGCTGTGATTCTGTATATATGCAGTGCCTCCCAGCTAGACTGTAAGCCCTTTGTGGGCAGGGCTCCTTCCAGGTCTTGGATGGCATTCTCCTGTCTACCTTCCCTTATCTGTCTTGTCTAGTAAAGTAAGTGCTCTGCGTATAGTGAGCTCAATAAATGATCATTTGCCAATTAAGCACTGTTTCTTCCACAATTAGAAATGGGCAATACAGTCCAAAGTGCCAGAAGACAGACTGGCATGTCCTGAGCTCCCCGCAGCTGCTGTTAGGAATGGTGCAGAGGGGATTTCAATGCTCAACTACTTGGTGGCAAATTCCCACTGCCAACCTGGCCAGATGGGCATCCTGGCCTTTGTGACCCATGGAGAGGACACCAAGACATGGGCAGGCCATGTGGCCTGCAGACGGAGCAAAGAACAGCCCCTTCTGGTCCCCTTGTGCTGGCTGTAGCGCATGTTGGGAAATCAGGTCGGGGACCTCCAGGACCTAGGACAACACTTAACACTCAACTTGTCCAAAATTGACAGCCTGCTCTTCTCTCCAAGCCTGTCCTTCCACAACCCTTCCATCTCAACTGATAACAGCTCCATTTTTCCAGCTGCTCTGGCCAAAAAGCTCATTGTCCTTGACTCCTCGTTCCCTCCTGCCGTGTGAACTCCCTCAGAGAATCCTGTCAGTTCTTTCACAGGGGATCCAGGATCTAATCACCCCCCCTGCCGGTCCAGGCCACCACCCTCTGCCCCTCCCTGGGTAGGGCCCTATCAGTCTCCCCCACGTGCATCCCTGCCCCTCCAGTCTCCTTTCAACTCCTCAGCGGAGGGGTCGTGTTAATAACTTTGTCAGACCAAGCCAGCCCTCGGCTCAGTGTCTTCCTCCATCTCTCAAGGGAAGCCTGGAGTCCTTCTGCCGGTGCACAGGTCTGCCCACCTCCGCCACCTCTGTCCTTATCTCCTAAGCCCTCCCTTGCTCCCTCTGCTCCAGCAGCACTGGCAGCTCCCTCCATCTGGAATGTTCTTCCCCCAGATATATGCATGGTTCTCTCCCTCCCCTCTTTCAAGTCTTTGCTTAGATGTCACCCTCTCATTAAGACCTACACTGACACCCTTTTAAAATGTCAAAGAAACTCAACTCCTCTTACAGCACATATCCTATTTTTCCATAGCACTTACCAGATTCTATTGTCCTATATAATCTACATATGTCCATTATTTGTTGTCTGTCTTTTACTAGAATATTAGCTCCACAAGGCAAAGATGTTGTCTGCTAGCTCATAGCTATATCCCCAGTGCCTGGCACATAATAAGTGCTCAATAACTCTTTGCACAATGATATGTGGAGCCCTGCGGGCATCAGCTCTTGCCAGTTACCCCACCATTTCTCCCCCCAGCCTTCCCAGGGAGTGCAGGGACCCCTATGTAAGGAAAGGAAGGAAGGAGCCCTCTCTGAGAGATTCTAACTCTTCCTGCCACCAGTGGGGAGACCCATCTCCCAGCCCAGAAAGGTCCCAGGGAAGCACTCCTCTGGAGTTGGCAGGGCAAGGCCCAAGAGCTCAGAGAAAAAGACAATTCCAGGACATAGGAGCTC